AAATAAATAAATAAATAAATAAATAAATAAATAAATAAAGATGGTACAGATTGAACATGTAGGCTGGTTCTCTAATGATAGATGATAATACATTATCCTCTTTTGGGGGGTTTTGGGAACATCTCTAAAACTCTAGATAGTTCCACCTCATACAGTGAGCTTGTAGGGTATCCACATGTCCCATGGCACCTTTGTCAGAGATTAGATCTGAAGCTGGAGAGACTGTTAACATAGTTCTCAGTTTGAAGGCCTGTTTCTTTGATTTGGGATCGTGTGTTCCGGTAACAACACGTGTGTATATGTCTTTAGTCCTTGTTGCAATGCTTCCTGCATGGTGGCCATTCCCCTGGTACCTGCCTGGCCTTGTCTGGAGAGTTTCCCACCTGTGAAATAGCTTCAGAAGGGCTGTCCCCTTGAAAGGAGCAGTTCTCTCTCAAACTTACAAAAGGGCTCTCTGTTCCTAAAGATCATTTGCAAGTTGATTACTTGGAGTGTGGAACACATTTTCTCATAAAAACAACGAGGTTAGGTTACCAGCTTGACCTATAAAGCTTATCATTTAGCATCGTAAAGTAGTAATTTACCAATAGTACAGGTCTCAGTTGGGCTTGCCGACCAGGTGGGAGGAGGAAGAGAGTATCTGATCTGTTTTTTGGGTTCTGATTTGAAGTTTGAATTAGGTAGAGGTTGGTCTTGTTCTCATCTCAGATTCTCTATCCTCCTCCTTAGGTCTCCAGGTATCCTAGTGCTTTCCCTTTCCTCAGGGCCTCTCCAGGCATGCTCCATTCTCCCAAATATCACGTGTTCCAGAACCTTCTTAGAGCCCTGTCCCCTTTATACATGCAGCCAGTGTCAACTTGGTTTTAGGACACATTTATCATATGTTGTGAATGACTCTTTCTGGAGAGTTTGTGTTTTTTATTTTATTTATTTATTTAAAACAATTTTTTTAATGTTAATTTGAGAGGGAGAGAGAGAGACAGACAGACAGACAGCACAAGTGGGGGAGGGGCAGAGAGAGGGAGACACAGAATCTGAAGCAGGTTCCAGGCTCTGAGCTGTCAGCACAGAGCTCGATGCGGGGTGTTTGGAACTCATGAAATCACGACCTGAGCCAAAGTCAGATGCTCAACCGACTGAGCCACCCAAGTGCCCCAAGAGAGTTTGTGTTTTCAAAAGAAGGCATTCACTAATACCACAGATCTTCAACAGTACATTCAGGCATGGCCCCTCTATCCAGGTCCCTTGGCTCCAGGTGTATTTTGGAATTCAGAGTTTCTCCGATTTCAGAAAGCAATGCCCCATAATCAAACAAAAATACTTTTGCAGCAAACTGTAAATTCCCTAAGAGAGATCTCTGCACAGCCTGCCAATGTCCTCATGTTGGTTTAGGCTTAAGTTTTGTACCAGATGAATTTGTGCCGAACTTTTTTAAAACTTTGGGTATTTGGAGCTTTTTGGATTTTGGAATTATAGAGATTTAGGGCTTATTTTTCACAGCATCACAAAGTGAAGGGGATCCTGCAGTGTGGGGAAGAGACTTGTGGCTAGAGAGGCCAGTCATCCAAGCAGTCAGCTTTGGTGCTAAGTTTGCCTCTAGGTCAGTGCATGGAACTGCCCTGTGTTTTCCTTTCCTCAACTCCTGCCAGTATAGAAACTCTGTTTAAAATAGTTTGGTTTTTTTTTTCTGCCTGATTCCAAAGTACTGTGTGCTAGTTTTTTTTTATTTTTTTTTTAATGTTTATTTATTGTTGAGAGAGCATGAGCAGGGGAGGGGAAGTGAGAGGGAGAGACAAAGAA